TTAACACACGCGGTGAAAAAAATATCAGTCTTTGGTGATAATTTTTCCACTCGTGTGTTAATCTACCTTAACACCTTCTTCCAAGGGCAGTATGTTTACATTGTCATTGACAAAACCAAAAAAAACGAACGCACAATTGTAACCGGACAAAATGGTAGGGGTGACCTGCATGTTCGTAATCCAAAATCTATGATAAACTAAATGTATTACAAAATTACAAGCCAAAACTAGGAACGACGGCTTCTACAGTTTGGTTTTTGGTTTACGAAATTATATCATATTATGGGCCTAATTATAATTTCTTAATAATTGGATAAAATTTAAATGGGTGGTATTTTACTCCCTGCTTATAATATACATACAGCAATCTACAAATACTACATAGAAACAAAAGAATGTGCAGCATGTACCCAATCCAAAACTGGATATGATCTCAGGTGAAGATCCTGCTCCACATAAGTACACATTTGGTGACAAGTCCAATTAGGCGATGTCACAATTGTGGTTACCACAATTGGAACATATTCGTGGTAATCTGTGAAACAGATATTCAATCGCGGTCAACAAAATCATGGTTTCAGTAAAAGTTTTCAAGGGATGACTTCAACTTAACAACTAGGAACCCATGGTGTACCATAGGTTCCATGTAGCAGAATCTCTTACAATTATTTTTATGAATGATGTTTTTATATACGTTTATGTTAAAGTAGTATGAAACAAGTTTCTTGTTATTATAATTACAAGAGAAATATTGAACCAATGCATCCATATGTGCAAATAATATTAAATTCTATAAGTGCCTGTCCCAAGTCAGGAGCCTGTAGTTCAGTGGTTATCGTTGGTACATGTCTGTCATATTTGTTTTCGTAAATTGTTTTGTTATAAATTAGGCCGTTAGTTTTCTCAATTGATTTGTTTCATATTTTCATATCGGGCCTTTTATAGTCGACTATACGGTATGGTTTTTTCTCATTGTTGAAGGCTGTATGGTTGCCTATAATCGCTTATATCCACTTCATTTGAACTGTGGTGGATAGTTGTCCCATCAATCATACCACATCTCCTTATTTTGTTAACATATAACAAACTAAGTTCTCTATGCACGTTTCTTACATTTATTACGAATCTATAAAAAAAAAGTAAAATAACAAAAATACCGAACTCCAAGGAAAATTCAAAACGGAAAGTCCTTTATCAAATGGCAAAATCAAAAGCTCAAAAACATCAAATAAATGAAAAACAACTGTCACATTCCTGACTTGGTACAGGCATTTCCTTATATAGAAAATGGTGAATTAAACCTGGTTTTATAGCCAGCTAAACTTTTCACTTGTATGACAGTCATATAGAATTTCATTATATTGACAACAATGTGTGAGCAAAAAAAACAGACATAATAGGTAAAGATGTCAAAAATTTCATATTATCGACAAATAATATTCCATTCAGTGATTGTTGGCCGCGAGCTAATTAACTTTCGAATTTTCTTCCCGAAGAATGGATAAACAATCAAGAGAGAGTTCCAAATGGTGAAGTTGAAATCATCCCTTCGTAAATTTTACGGACGCCATCAACGTTACGCACGCTGTTCCTACAACCCCTAGGATTTAAAACAGAATCTTCGAAATTTCCTCCGCAAAACAAAATAAAAATGTTAGCAAACACGAACCACTATTAAAACAAATTCAGTATATGTTTTAAATTATGTTTTTATAGCTCTTGATTATATACTAAGTAATATCTAGTATATTTGAGGATTAAAATAACAAAGCTATGTGAAAAAAACGGATGTCCAACGTTACATTTATGAAAAACTGTTTTAACTCTTATATATAGTGATCCTATTTCTTATTCTCTGATCTTCGTGAAACTTGGCAGGAACAACGACATGTGTCGGTTCTCTGTGTCGTTAAAGCCGTTATTTTGCCAAATTTCATTTAACTTGGTGGCTGCATATTAAGCTTGAATAAGAAAAATTTCCAACGACGTTTTTCGTTAACTCAACGACTGAAAGTGAATTTTATAAGTAGATATAGCAGGAAATAAATAAAAAGAGTAACACAATAATAACATCTATCAAAAGTACAAATATTTGCCTCATTGTTCGTGAGTTCAAATATTGCAGATTCTATAAAATCTTCTCTACACAGTCGTTTTTCAAGCGGTAGCCATTTTGTCCAAGTTGATATTTCATTTTTCAAAGCAGTTAACGCGTATATTTTAACTGATATTTCAATAAGTTATTTATAATTGATCAAAACAAAAGTTAGATACACGAAGAGTACAAAATGCCAAGATTCTTTTCTTATTAACTACATGTTTGGGTGTTAAAGGAATAAAATGCTTCCACACATTACAAAACGGTAGCCAATTTGTCCAAACGTTTGAAAACGTCGAAAAATCCGAAAAACGCTAATTTCCGACGTTACATGTGCTAAAGTTTCAATTAAATGCTCATGATAATTAAAACAAATCGTGTGGTGAAATTTAGAAAAAGATGATGATGGCTGCCGAAAAACAAAAAGAATATTGCATGTTGCTATAGACTCCGGCCGGGGACATAGATTCGACACGGGTTAAATTTTGCAATTTTTATTAACCGTTTATAGCTTTTAACGATTTATTTAAAAGAATGGTGAAATGGAAAAAAAATTTCATTACATGAACGAATACATTAACTTTGTTCAACTTTTGCAAAGACAAATTGGAGACACCAAGACCGTTCTCTAAATGTAAAATGCGAATTTTAATTTATGTTGCGGAAGTACTCCGAAATAGATCATTTAAAGTCGTCACTTCAGTAAGGTGCATTCACCAATATTAAAAGACTGAATACAAGTCCACGGAATGTTTTACTTCGCGATTTGTCCTGCTATTCATGTTATAACTGTCGTGATGAAAGTAATTCCTGCACTAGCGAAGCCGGAACTTTTCGCCAATATAAACTTGGGCATGAAATGGAGGTAATTGAAAGACAAACAGCGACGAAAACCGTGTCATTGAATTAATAAAACCCGGGATTGTAATATTTTATTTACGGACGATCCAGGAGTAGATTACTATATTGAAAATGTATATCAGAAGTTAAACAATGTAAGCAAGCAACTTTAGATGACTTGGGAAATAATTCTCAAGCCAAGGTTCAAGTAATTGAAGCGGTGTATTTCGACAAATTATGTGCCAGGGAAAATACAATTCTATTCAAATTAACCAAGGGTAAAAATGTTTCAATTTACTTGCAGAGTATCAGATATATTTGCATTTGGGTTGAATTAAGATATAGAAATTTTAAAAAGACAGATGATTTGCACCATGAAATTAAACATCCTATGATAAAAGTTTTGTACATCTAAAAAAATTAATTTATTTATGGAAAACCGTATACATGTACTTCCGTCCCATTTTTCCTTCCTACATTACTTGCGACAGTACTGCATTTTTCGGCGAAAGAACTTTAAGGGTAAACATTAGTATATCAATTTCCACAACTTGAGGTAATTTATGATAAAATGACATCACAAAAAGAACAGAACCAGAATCAACCAACAACATATAAAAAAACGAATAAAACTTGCAAAAATTAATCGAAGTCAAAAACCGTCTTTGACGCCGCATTTTTAGTGTAACGTCGTGTTGTAGGAACATCGTGCACAACGTAATCACGAGTTGGTTGACCGTTATGGAATAACCGTTTCACAGATGATATCGGAGATGTTCCTTATGTCGTAACTACAATACCCTTCCCTTTTCACGAATGTGACCTACCGAATTAGACTATTTACCGGATTTGTAATAACATAAGCAACACGACGGGTGCCACATGTGGAGCAGGATCTGCTTACCCTTCCGGAGCACCTGAGATCACCCCCAGTTTTTGGTGGGGTTCGTGTTGCCTAGTCTTTAGTTTTCTATGTTGTGTCATCTGTACTATTATTTGTCTGTTTGTCTTTTAATTTTTGGCCATGGCGTTGTCAGTTTGTTTTCGATCTATGAGTTTGACTGTCCCTCTGGTATCCTTCGTCCCTCTTTTTTAACACAGAATCGTGAAGCACATATAATATAAGTGAATTGATAGAGCGATGTTTTAATATTTTCAATTGTACACGCGTTCCCATTTGTTATTCAAACTTTTTCATAACAGTTGTTAAATGATTTGATGTATCAATTAGTTTTTGAAGAATCAATGATTGCTATTTACCTTCCAGTGCACGTTTGTTTACACTCTTTCATCACGAGTTCTTACTTGCATATTTAATACAATGTTTTATCAAAATACAAGAAGTATCTGCTTAAATACCAGTTAATTAACTGTTTACAAAACTTCTGAATTTTTGAAATACTAAGGTTTTTCTACCTCAGGAATAGATTACCTTAGCTGTATTTGGCAAAACTTTTAGAAATTTTGGTCCTCATTGCTCTTCAACTTCGTACTTTATTTGGCCTTTTTAACTTTTTTGGATTCGAGCGTCACTGATGAGTCTTTTGTAGACGAAACGCGCGTCTGGCGTAAACACAAAATTTAATCCTGGTATCTATGATGAGTTTATTTACATAATGGCAGAAAACATTAATTTGAATTGCAACAGAAAAACACAAGTCTCGTTTTGCTAATGATGCTATGAGCAACTTATAAGAGGTTTGCGTTTGTAATTGTGTGTATTATCTTCTTAGCTTCACCTTATTGTGTTGTTGTCGATGATGTAACATTGTGATATTCATTCAGTAAAATCGCAGTTAATCGAAATTAAGTGCGATCATCTACGATATATATCAGTTGTGAGTTTTTATCCATCTATTTTGAACATTTTCACACTTTTTAAATATTCTATTTCAGGGTAAAGAATACACTAGCGCAGTATTTCGCCTGTTGGTCATTCATTTAAAGGAAGTCTCAAACTTCGAAATGTCAAAATAAAAGACAAATAAGTTGACTGAAACTCGATACATCCAACGAATATCCAAATCATGCAATATTCAATTCAACGAACAGCTGCCACACATGAAACATATTTTAGAAATGTCAAATTAATATTCAGTAGCATTTGTTTCCTGCAATTGTTTTTTGTCATTGCATACGTAAGCATGATGATTTTTCCTGCACTTATCGTAATTTTCATAATTGATAGAGTAAAGCTTCACAAATTTTCAAATCACCAGCAAGGCGTTGTGTCGTCGCAATCAGGTAAGACTCAGTCAAGATATATAAATGTATTGCTGTCTGTCAAATTTAAGCTTTCGTATTTGATTTTTCAAATGTTACAATTATAAAGAAATACAGTTTTTACGTGCAACTTATACAAATATGTGAAAGTAATTAGAATGGCTAAAACTTTGTTTTGATGCTCTTAAAAATATTTTATTTTATTTAAATTTGTTTGTTTGTTTATATTTAATGCGACCATTGTTATATTGGAGAGTACAGGAGAGAGCAAATGACAGTCGGGTGGGAAGGATACAAATCCTTGTCAATTAAGATCGATGTCGAATGCACCTCCCAACGAGCGGGACCCGAACTCTCAACCTCAGTTATGACCGGATAGTGAACACTGTCGATAAACTACTTAGACCACACGGCCTCATTTACTTTTTATTGGTCTTTTTTACTTGCTAAACTTATAGTCTCTCGTGCACCTGGTGAAATTTTTTCAGAAAGACGATTCGTTCGGACTGAAACTGTTTAACACCAAGTAAAAAAGGCCCATTACCCATTGCCTATAGATCATTATCCAATTCATTGTTTTTGTAAAACAATAATCGATTCTATTCTTTATCGTCAAAAAAAAGAAGAAAGAAAGATGATATATCAGATTAAAATGATTGCGATTCAAACAATGACATCATAAAACGCCTTTAAAGTAATGTACAGAAGTTGCAGCGTATTCAAAACCCTTTTTGCTGATTGAAGTATGTTGGCTACTGGAACTACCCAACTTCAATACGTGTTTTCAGTAAAAAATGTATAATATTTCAAATCTTAAGAAATCAAGAAAAAATTAGATAGGGGGGTGCTTGTTCTTTGAATACAAATATTTGAAAACATTTTGTTTTTATTTTTCTCTGTTTTGGGTAGAGGGTTATATGAAATGCATTGGAAGTAAAGTATATTTGAATGTACGCATCAATGTTAAAGAAAAAGATAAAGCAAGAATTTATAAACATGTATATTTTTTTAAATACATAAAAATACAGTTGGCACAACGCTAAGATTATAAATGGAGTCACAACTTACGAGAAAAGCTGACTTTTGTTTCGGAAGGATAATAGCGTAAAAGAAAATGAATAGTATATCTTTCATTATTTCCATCTAAGAACTATTTTAAATCACAGTTAGTACTTGACAAAAAATATAGAAATATGAACTTCTATTTCGTGCACTTAATGTGTCGTTATCTGATTAAAATACAGGTCCTGTGTCGACGCTGGATCTACAATACTCCATTCTTCAATCTGTTTTGAATATCAGTGAAATTTCCGCTTTAAATTTTGAAAGTATTTCATCACGTCAATTCTGAGGATCCCGAAAAGGTTTTCAGAACAGAAAATGTGTATCATATACAGCGTGGACTCGCAGTTTGTATTATAATCAGATTGATACTCGTGATTACTCGATGAATAAAATGTTACCTTTAATAATTGTTATCTTATCTCCAAGCGATATTAAGAACCGACTAACTTTCTGTTTTGTCTTAGCGGAACCTGTACTGATAAAGAAGGATTTGAATCCAAAATGTTCTGGTAAGAAATCTATTTCAAAATCAAGCATATTACTGCCTTAAAACTACAAATAAGTATTAAAATAACATTCAATAAATTCCTATCTTGAGAAATGCAGTCTTCTTTAAAGTACTGCCTCTTTGTGTTATAGCAGAAAAAAAAAACTTTTTATAAAAGTGTTTTCTTTTAATAACCATTTGCAAAATGTATATTGTTTGCAGTTAAAAGGACTAGGAAACAAAAAAAGCATTTGCATTTATTGATAGACAAGTATTATTTAAATATATTTCTAACAACATTTGTGTTAAACAATTGTACCGTTATGAAATTAATCAATATTTTGTAATAATCAAATCCATTTTCAGTTTATCAGTACGTAAATGATGTATCCATGTTTTGCATAGTATCCGTTTCTTGTTAGATTTCAACGGATCTAGTATTTAAAAGCTTTTTTTCGACATCTCCCTCTTGCATTTACACAATTTGTTTCCTCGGCAAGACGGTGCTAGGGGCCGTCTTAAACTTACAGTGAGGTTAGAGTTTTTTCTTCCGTGTTGAAGGCCTCACTGTGACTTTGAGATGAAGAACAGCAATGAAAGCGCTGTTCCTTTGATTTTTGTGTGTTTTTTGTTGTGCATGTACTGATTTTGTGTCATGGATGGATACCCCATATCCTTTGTTTTTCTATTATGATAGCGTTATTTTTAAAGAAAACATATCTATAATACTAAGATAACGAGGTCCAATTTGTTAGCCGGCATGGAGTAAAAACAACAAATCAAAGAATTCAACTTTATATATAACCAATATAGGACAATAGTGTTGATTAAAAATTACACCATTCTAGGCCCTTTTGTTTTCCAAATAATTTATTTTTCCAATAAGTTCCGGGTCGAATCCGATACCGACACCAGTAGTCTATGTTACCTGTTACATATTACCTAATCTGTATGTTCAGCATCTGTCAGGAACACCACCAAACGGTGTATTTGGGATTTGCTATATACACGGGTCATTATTACACTTAAACTTCGTCATTATACAGGGGCTTGGTGGTTCAACAAGTGCGCAACTTTTGACCTGAATGGCAATTATTTCATTGGGAAACCAGACAAAGAACACCGCGGTGTCTACTGGCGTTCTTGGAAAGGAAGCAACTACTCCCTTAAAAACTCTGTGATGATGCTGAGAAGATTATAATAAACTGTATTATATAAAATCACATAGTAATCTTAAACTACTCCTTTTATTATTTCGTGTTTAAAAGAAAACTGTTCGATTTCTAAGAAGCTACAGTGATGTTTAACACCATTTTCATTTTAGGAAAAGATAATTATCAAGCATCAGACAATTGCATGAAAAATATTCTTGTAAAGTGAATAAAACTGAAAATTTGTCTTCTGTACATGGTAATATAAAACCCGATAATTCCACTTCAATAAAAATACAATTTTAACTATGTAACCATATTAAATTGCAACTTACTTCAGTAAAAAATATTCTTTAACTTAAGTAAACATATTGAAATTAATTTTACTAACGATTACCACCTTTTCAATATGTGTTGATTAGGTCTTTCCACTTTTCCGTGGAAAAACCTATTGATTTTGTTCTGATTATTAAAATTTTTTGTCTTCTTCCGCGATTTTTTTTTTCTTGCGCTGTATTTTGGTTTCGCTTTTATATCTTGCATATGATATCGAAAAGCTATTGTGCATTTGAAACTCACACTGTTTAACCGAACACTTTTCATTGTTAGAGTTATCTCCCAAAACATTGTTTTACTTGTTCCTACATGTCCTCCGTTACCAACAATGATATCGACAACATTCTTTTTCTTAATTGTTCATTACATCTTCATGAAGCTGCGACTTATTTGGACCGAAGTGATCCACTGACTTCTGATTGGAGTTGTCTACCCTTCATAATTAAATTTGTCGATATGTTTTTGTAACTGATAAACCGTAAGCCGTATAGACCTAGGGTCTTTAAATTTGATGTCCATGGGTTTTAACTTACAAAATGAGATTAAGGTCAATAGGTAATGTTGTGTTCATGTTTGTCTTTTGCTTGTTATTGCATCTCCTCTGAAACTTTAAAAGATGTAAATAAAAGAACTAGGGCAAAATGTTTGTTTTATTGTGATGAAGAAAAGATACATTTGATCTGAAACAATTTAATGACATCTTATAGGAGTAATAGCCTGTTTCTTTTTATGTTGTAATGTTACACTACTGTCTCAGGCTAGGGTGAAGGTTGGCACCTGTTAAAACATTTAAACCCGCTGCATTTTTATGCACCTGTCCTAAATCAGGAGCTTTTTATTCAGTGGTTGTCCTTTGTTGGTGTGGTTCATAGATGTTTCTCGTTTCTCGTTTTTTTTTTATATATATATTAGACCGTTGGTTTTCCTGTTTGAATTGTTTTACACTTATTATTTTGGGGCCCTTTATAGCTTGCTGTTCGGTGTGAGCCAAGGCTCCATGTTGAAGGCCGTACTTTGACATATAGTTGTCTCATTGACACTCATACCACAACTTCTTTTATCTATCTATAATCATATACAATGTGACTTGGATGGAGAGCTGTCTCATTTGCACTCATACCACATCTTATTTATATTGAAATGTTTTAAGCTTAGGTTAATTGATTCTTACTTTAATATGATACATGATTAAGCCATATATGGTCTTTGGCAAAATGTTGGATGACATATGAACTTGAAAAATGTAAACCGGAGGTGACCTTGAGTAAACCAGAAGGAGCCATTTTTGCACATTCTTCAAGGAAAAGTACCTAGAAACCATATTTGTTTTAATCAACATTCATAAACCTATCATTAAAGACCGAAAATGACCTTTAAAAATGAAAGTAACTGATTATCTAACTTACTTCAGGCAAAAATATATAGTAGCCGTATATATTTGGAATCAGTGTAAATAAAGCTGTCATATGCGCCAGGAAGTGACATTTTCTAAACCTGAAGTAGCAAATTATCTCCTTTATTTCAGGCAAACGTATATAGAAACCATATATATTTTTAATCAGTATGAAGAAACCTATGACTGGACGCCAATAGTAGCTTCGAGTATACCGGAAGTAGATTCTCATCAATTATTTAGAAATTTAATGTGGGAAGACCTTCAATTGTTCTCTGAATAAGTAGTTTTTAACTGTTCTCTGAATTTTTTTGAAGTGGAATTCATCTCCATGTTAAAATATCTTGAAATCTTAATACTCATTTCCTTTTCATTTGGCCTTTACAATTTCGTTATGTGAGAGTCAATGATGAGTCTTTTGTAGTCTTGGATATGTTATTTATCTCTTTTGAGAGAACAAGTAAGTAACTGCAAGTGCCATATTCAGCGAAATTTTACTTGCTGTTTGTTATTGGACTTTACCCCTCCCCCTTTTCTGTCTGTCAAATCATCAGTTTTCCCCAACACCAATAGGAAATATTTGCATAAATCAGTAAAATTTTACAATTTAATGTTCTCTGAAATAACTTGGAAGTAATTTTTTTGACATGAATCTCGATCAAAATTGTTCAAAATGTCAAGGATCATAATGATATCCCACACTAAAACAATTAGAGAGATCTTGGAAAAATTTGAAGCGCACAGCTTGATACAACCGTAACATGTATTACACAATATTAGTTCTTGACACCATACAATTGATTGATACAGTACCAATATGAAAACAGAAAATATATTATGTGCAAATGAAGGCTGGTCTTGTCTCAGAACTGCCGTTTATCTGGACTGATGCTTCCGTTTTCTACCTTTTATGTCAACTTCAACAATCTCATTACATTGCACTTTAACAGACGTTATTTCACAAAAAAAAATACATTTGGAGGCCGTAAATATGTAGTTATTGACAGAATTTCAAAACTTTTTGTCTCTATGGTAAAAGATGCCTGGTTAGTTTGTTTGTTTTGGGGGGATGCTCGATGACATACCAGTTTTGTTTAAACACTAATGAATACAATTTTCCATTACATGAAAACCAGCAATACTTAACTAAAGTTTTGATGTTGAAAAACTTGTCAGTCCTAATTTAAGTATTAAGTAGGTGACAGGTTTTCTGCCGTTTTCAATCAAACAACGAAGAATCGTGTGATCACACTTATCCTGTAGTATCTTAACTAAAAGTTCATCCTCCGCAAAACTTTCTCCTATAAAAGTTATATCGACCGATTCTAATGGATAAAAACAAATGTCTCTATTGAAATATTGAAGTTTACCCTTTAGAGCAGCACTGGTTACGGCATCCATACAAATTTTAGTGTACACAGATTGGTGCGTGTGCATATTGAAATCGAGGTCGCTGTATCTAACTGTTGTGCTCCATTGGTAACAATCACTCGGAAATTCAGGAGGATTCAATATCGATTTGAAACTATTTGGTAAATCATTTAATCTTTTCAGTTTATGATTAGGATTATGGTACTTCTGTCTAAACCACTTTGGAAGTTCCACTGCCTTACGTGAAGTTCTGTCTATAGTTACAAGTTTGACGGCTCTTTCAAGTAAAACAGTCTGACTTTCAACGTCTTTTACAACTGAGTTCCATACATAAGACTTTCCGCCTTCTTCTCCTGGCTCTATTTGGTGTATGATGTGAAATTTGAATTTCAATTTAGAATAAGTAAAGATATTTGGGTTAAACCTCATGATTTGACGCTTTTGAAACACGGGTGTGTTTTCTTCGTCAGCCCTCAGATAGTCCATCACCGGTGATATATTGTCAGCATTGGATACGCCAACGACAAAATCCGATAAAGACCACGGAGACCAGAAACCTGAAATATATCAAATAAAACATAAAACATTGATTGAAACATCTTCGATATATTTAGGACAATATATAAGTATATAAATCAAAGAGGGATGAACCGAATGAACTTGATCCAAGTCGGCTTTCTGGTTTTCTTCAGATTCATACTAATAGTTAACAAAGACTACGCAATATAAATACACGGAAGCTATGTAACCAAAAGGAACACAAAAAACCAAAACCTTATTTTGTCAACTTTTCCTGTAGATGTCACGAGCTTGGTTTTTATTAAACCAAAATTCATTAAAACGAAAAAAAAGACTAGTTTGCTGTTTTTAAGCTACAAACCTCCATGGGTAAAAATAAAATTAATATCTTTGACTTTTATGTTTGGATTCTGTGTGAGTATGTTGTCTCTATCGGCTTTATATATCAATTTCCATTAAAAGCTATTTATCTTTATTTGAAAAAAAATAAGTAGACTAGAAAACATGAAAGAATAATTAGCCTGTGCAGAAATCTGTGTATTTCTTAATCCGCTTAGTATAAATGGTGTGGTGTTAATGGTGTGGAAACAAAGATTCATTAATGCATTATGAATTATAAGACAAAATGAGACATTAAAAGAATTACCAAGACTTTCTATGGCTAATTGCTGATCAGAGAGCTGTATTAACTAATTGCGATTTTTTACTAGGATTAAAATCTTTTTGAAGGCCATTTATTAAACAGCTCTTTGGATCTTACTAATCATTCATTTTCTCGTTGACTTGAATATATATCTGTGAAACATTTAGCAGTATTCAACTCATAAATAAAATAAAACGATGCGAAGTCTTGATTAACTGACCAATTGCTGATTATATATCAAAATATGTTTTCTCATTTTATTGAATTTATTTCACCATATATGAGTCTAACGGCCTGTATTGCGTAATACATAAAGGATAATAAGCTATTTATTCTACAGCTATTATACATAGTCCATTGTTAAACTTTGAAAAGGAGTTATGCTGGAATACTGATTATTTTATTATAGAAATTAGAATCACAGTCTTTTCAAAGGTTTAATGTACACTTGATAAGTTTTCAATTATCTTTTCTTCCCAAACCACACCTACTGGGATCAAATAGTCAAGTAGAAATGAGTACCATTTGCAATGTATACCAGACGGCATTGAGATGTATACCATTATTATGTGAACATTCTTGGAGCGATGTTATATCTTTGTTATTTTTTATCCAACTTCTGCTTGCTTATTCTTTTGTAAAGCTCATCATTTCATCTTAATACTTCAATTCTTATTGATGAACTTTGCATTCTGTGCATTGTCTTTTCCTCGACAATGATTGTAATAAAAGAGGGACGATAGATACCAGAGGGACAGTCAAACTCATAGATCGAAAACAAACTGACAACGCCATGGCCAAAAATAAAATGACAAACAGACAAATAATAGTACAGATGACACAATATAGAAAACTAAAGACTAAGCAACACGAACCCCACCAAAAACTGGGGGTTATTTGAAAACGTTGATATATATATATATATGTATAAACTCTGTGGGCTTTTTCACAAACCGAAATGTTCAGGTTGAGAGTCAATAAGAC